GAGATTGGGGTGAACCGGACAATGATCAGTTATCATTATAATGTTGCGTTTTTCTCGTAAGAATCACTCATCTTACTTTCAAAGCCAACTAATGAGAGATGAAATGTTTTTGTGCGGCTTTTTAGGAGTGGAGGGTGAAAGTAGCTTAGATGAACAAAATTGGCTCGTGCGACAGGCTAATCAGAGGGTATTTCAAAGCCAAGCTAACCTCCTTTCTACGAAACACTTGAAAACACCTCTCTCATTTCATACCCCTCTTAAATTTGACTTGGGTTTTACTTTTTGTTCATTCCCAGAAAGGAAATCTTTTCGTGTTAAGCGGAAAAAAATGTATGAAAATACATAATAGTTTGTCGGGACCGTTCTTTTATTTCGTGTTAACCAATATTTGGTCTTAAGGCGATATGGTACCATCTTTACAATTTTTTTTATTTTTAATATTTGATATTTGGTTTTAATTGTATTTCACAAAGGTTAATATTTAATAATAATTCCACACAAAAATTTTTTAATTTGTTGCAAAATGTTTGTAAAATTAAATTTTTTTTAGCTTTTTAAGCATTTTTTAAATCCCTAAGGCTTTTTTAAATATGTCTCTTTTCTTTCAAAGAATTTTTTCCAAGTTCCTTATAATATACTACATAAAAATGTGCATGGGGTTTTTTTCTGCTGCTGATCTTTGATTTTTTATCAATTTTTTATAGTTAAATTTCCAAACATTAACAAAAAAACATTAATTTTGAATTTGAAATTTTATAGAAAAAGTACTACACATGTTAGAGCTAATTCCATGCACTGTTTCACAAAACATACATTTCAGAACATGTATAAAAAATTTCAACCCCATGCTTCAATTATTAAAAAAGCCTTAGGGTTTTGAATAACAGTATATGTACAAAAATTCAACATGGAGAAATATGAGTTTGAAGTTTTCATTCCATGGATAGCATGATATAATATTCATCGAATAGTCTGAAACTTTTACGAAATGTTAAATAGCTTATTTAAAACTACTTACCATAAAAAATTGCACAAATGTAGATCAATTAAACAGTATACTGCATAATGAATATAAAGAACAAAACGAATGAAAGATCAATATTTCATAAACTTTATCTTAATAATTATAAAAAAATAAATACATACACTTCAGAGTTATTTCCACGCTCAGAGCTAATGCACAACATGTACAAAAGATGTTTATGCCTTTATTTTTTATTTCCATGATTTTAAAAGCCTTCGCATGTTAAATATTGTACACGAATAAAAGCAAAAGCAAATAACAATTTATAGGTAAAATACATCAAAATCTAAGAACTGTATATGTGCATTTGTTTAAATAAATATCTTAAAATATTTTAATAATGAAAGTGTTGAATTTTACTCATATGGGATATATATATATCACCAAAAACAAATATATAAAAAATGGGAGAGTTTTTCTATTCTTGCGAATTAGATTTTTAATTATCTGAGTTACCAAAATGAGATTTAGTATTTGTGCTTTGGGAGAATCCGTTTTGAAGTTTTAATTTCATTCATAATAATATCATAAAAAGCACGCACAACTTTTAAATCTTCACCAAATGCATTTGTTCTTCAATAAACAATTCACAAACTAGAATTTTTGCATGAATTGCACAGTTCTTTCTTGAAATGATTTGTTACTGCATTTATAATGTCAGTCTCATATACGCGCGGTAGAAAAATAATTAATTTTTTATCAGGCTCTTTTCTAGCAGATAATCTGAAATGTGAGAGTGGTAGTTGATGTGCAATATTAAATATTGCTCCATAACTTGATAAAAATGCAGGTTGAAATTTTGCAGGCATATTTATAAAGATTCGGGGTATCAAATAAGCCAATAAAATTTTTTTTGACAGTTTAATGATTTTTAGGGTACCATATCTCCTTAACTAAAAAAAGTTTCACAATTTAGGTAAATCGGTGATAAATGTTAAACTTGTCAAAGATTGGACGCATCGTTTATTATTGCGAGGATGAGAAAATAAGTTTAAAAATATATGGCTACATTGAAAATATAATGCTGACTATCTCAGGTTGAGAACAATAACAAAAACTTATCTGTATTACAACATGCCGCTCATTAATGTTTCAATGGATTCTTAGACACCTCGTTGGGCACTAATTTCTAGCCGGAAATGGTAAGGACCAATTTTTCGATTTTGGAAGATTAATTTATTTCACAGTTGGATGGTACACAAATAAATTATCTTAGGATAAGAAATAAATATATCAAATTGATAAATAGCAGGAGTTAGATATCAAAGTAGTATGTTTCTTCGATCTGAGATAGATGACTACTACGCTTAACAGAGTTGGGTGTTCTAGGTCAGAGGTCACTAAAGTGGTGGTCCGCGGGAAAATATCGCTGGTCCCCAGAAAAATGTAGAATATATTTACTCATCACATTAAATTATGTTTTAAAATGCATTGAAACATAATTCAATTCATTGTAATACGTGAAAAGTTATAAAAACACTACATCATAGAATAATGCCATTTCATAGGAATGTATAATGCTAAAAGTATGATATACTTAAACCATTTTTTTAACCCGGCCCTTCACGCGAAGGGTACCTCATACCCATCGCCTAACTTTTTTCAAGACTGCATCTAAACTTTTTTTAGAAAATGAATAGTTTCTCGACTTTAAAGTCATATTCTTAGAGGGGTTATACCTTGTAGGCGAATTCTAAATATATGTTTTTGGATACCGCATCTTTTTGGGTATGTCATACCCTGCGCGTGAATCGCCGTTACAGTTCTAAATGCATGAGCATGCTTTAAAATCTTTCTTATGCACATTGGCGCATTATTGTAGTTATGATGAAGAAATGTTATATTTAAGTAATTTAAGAGATACAGTATTTAATAGATGTAGTACAACAGTATTTTCGGATGGAGAAAGTCTCTTTTCGGGAATGATGGAGATTAATCGAATGATCCAGAGTATATTAGCAAGTATGATTCCTCTACTGAAATCTTATCCATATAATTTAACTGAGGGAGTAATTATCATCCTTGATAAACTGACCACATCATATTCAATGGCTAGAAAATGTAATCTTAGCTGACGGCAATTTTTTTATGTTGTTGAACGTTGCGACAATAAATGCGCAAATTATTCTTTAAGTAGTCAGAAACCACCTACTAAACATCGAACCAGACGTTGATTTCTGAAGCGTTTTGGATTTCGATTTACAGAAGAATGTAAAAACCAGCAACCAATGGTGTTTCTACGAAATTTAAAAAAAAATAAAATCCAGTGAAAACATTGCATTTTTTCGCACTGAAGACTAAAGGAGTTTATAAACAATGTACTGAATGCCCAAATATAAAAAGAACCGAAAAACTAAATTTACGTGAGAAAGTGTAATAAACATATTGTAATTCCTACTTTTCTTCCTTTTTCAACATTGTATGCAAATTTTACGGCAAAAACAGAATGTAAACACCCCCTTGGGTATGAGATACCCTGCACGTGAAGTTAAGGTCGTTCTTTTCGCGCGTGAATTGCCGGGTTAATTGTTTTGTTTTTACAGTTTTTGTTTATTTTATTATGGTTTATTAATAATAACTTTATAATTTGGTTAAAATTTATAGTTTCATTTTATTAACTAGGTTCATTTTATACGTTCTTAGATCACAATGTTTTTTATAAATATTTATTTTTAACATTTAAAAAATTCTATTAGTGGTCTGCGGGATTTAAATTATGAATTGATTGGTCCGTGAGATCAAAAAATTTGACGACCGCTGTGCTCTAGGTTACAGTTACAGTTATTATTTTTGTGGGATGTGGAGTGACAAAGGTTATTATCCCAATGTGCTCTAGATTTATTTTATAATCAGACGTTGATAAATAGAATTCCACCTTTTGCTTTAGAAATAGACACACTAAATTTGTCATGTTTGCTACATATTGCTAGATTTTCGAAGTGAAATGAGGGATACATTTTTGTTTTTTGTACGGATATATTTATAAAAATGTAAGTTAATATTAACGTCGCACTTTTCAGCTATTTCAGAGCTTTTGGCGACGAATCTCGTAGTTTTAAATAATGGTCAAAAGACAAGGACGACACCTGAGCTAGTACCCCTCTCTCCTAACTACCACACCGCACCAAAGGGAGGGTGCTTAATTCTCGTCATATTTAACGTGTATCGGCCACCTCTGCATGGTGGTTTTGCAGTGGTACCAGGCTCGAACTCATGACACGCCCGCAATGATTCCATTACCTCGACAACTAGGCTACCACGGCAACTTGTAAAAGTGTAGCCAATTTAATAATAAATAAAAATCAAACAGTAGAATTGACATATAAGATAACTGTGTGATATTCTTACGTTGTACATTTGTTTGGATTTCGACACGTAATTCAAGCATATTAGATGAAAAACAAGCAATGCAAGAAAATTTCCTACTTAGTCAATTTCTACGTAGGTCAACAAAGAAAAATTTCACACACACACACACATTTTAGTTACTTTTTATTAAATAGTTACATTTAATATAAATATGTATATACATATGACACATAATCACAATATTAAGTGATTTCCCTTTCTATGTATGGTGTTGGACTTTTTTTTTGTTTCTCTTGTTCGTTATAACTAAATTTAATTAAACTAATCTGAACTCAGTGGAGCAACAGTCCATGAAGGCCAAGGCCTACTGGGCCCCCTTAAGTATACGTGACATTTGGGCGTTGAGGTGTATGAGCAGATGTCCCGTTCATGTTGTCAGTCTGAAACGAAACCCTCAGTGTTTAGTCCCCAAGCAAGCTCTTAGTCTTCATTTATTAACCCACTGAAAGGATGAAGACTGAGTCGACCTTGCCCAGCCCGAGGATAGAACCCCGGACCTATAGTGTGGAAGCGTGATACGTTACCACTCAACCACAGGGCTTCTTAAATTTAAGTATTTTAATAAAATAGTATAGTAAAAAAGAAATCACAGTCTCAGAAATTAGGCCATTCCAGGTGGAATTCGAATCCACGGCCTTTGGATTAGAAATTCATCGAGCTATCCGTTGCGCTGCAGGGACACAACAAAAGCAATTTTACTTTCTTTAAAGGCTGTTAGACTATTATTTTTATTTGTTACTATTTGTTCATTTTTAATTTAATTAATACTTGAAAAACTGCATTAACATCAAGTGACATCCACTACAAGTTTAAAAAAATGTGTTTGAATTTGCATAGATGAATCGAATTTATTAACGATTGAAAATTTGAACAATACACACACACACATATATATATATATATATCTATATATCTATATATATACTGGTGTCCAAAAGTTAAGCATAAATCATAAAATGCGAAAAACATGCAGTAAAAATTCGTAAAATTATTCCAAATTTCTTGCGGATATTAATTGGGTGCAGAAGAAACATTGGGTTTGTGCAAAACTTTTTCAGTCGACTACGTCCTACACGAAACACCGGCGCATGTCGGAACGCGGAGACCACCAAACAAGGTGAATGATGGCACAAAGGCGCCAATTGGACATGTTTACGAAAGGAAGAATCGTTGGAATGCTGGAATCCTCACGATCACAAACAGAAGTGTCTCGAATTCTGAATGTGGACCAGCCTGTGATCTCAAGACTGTGGCAGAGGTTTCAAAGAACGGGAGATGTTACCCGACAACCAGTATCAGGTCGAACAAAAGTCGCAACCCCTCGCCAAGACTGATATCTAGAAATAAGAGCGCGACGTCAGAGGGGCAGTACTGCCAGAGCACTGGGTTCGGCGCTCACAGTTACCACAGGAATACGAATTTTGAGATAAACTATTTACAGGAGACTCAATCATGCTGACCTGCTTGAGCATGTATGAGATATGCTCGGGAGACAAATTGCAGCCCTTTCGCACCCACCAAGTTCCGTTACAGAACTTAAGAGAGCTCACTGTTGGAAGCTTGGAACTGTTTGAGACCACAACTCATGCATCATCTCATAGCAAGTATGGTAAATCGCTGTGCAGTGTGCCTGGCTGTCAGAGGTGACCACACACCTTATTAAACTGCAGCATTAGTATTTTATTTAAAGTTTTTTTTATTTTTTTCTTTAAAGTGTGAATCCTTGCTATGCTCAGTTTTCTTTCAAACTGCTACTTTGGATAATAAAATTAATTATTATCATTCTTTTTATTTGCTTCCTTATTTTATAACCATTTTACACTCGCATATCACGTTCCCCGCCATTCTGATTTACAGTTCCTTCTTTATTCACATAATTATCATCAATTATGCTTAACTTTTGGTCACACCAGTGTATATATATATATATATATATATATGTATGTATAAATAGGGAGAGAGGGAACTAATAGTAGGAATTGAATATAAGTCCTATGAGTCTGTTATAGATGTGATGATATTTTCAATAAAATTGAGAGACTTTGAGAGAATCATGAATGGATTTATTAATGCCTTATTATAACCTACACTTGTAACAAATATAACGCATTCTAACTTCAAATATCTTAATTAATTTTTAAAAATTGTCCTTCAGTGTTAACATTTCGCACCTTGTATATTTATAACAATATTGCATGTATAAAAGCTTCCATTATAACATAATAGATTTGCAATTATCATTCTCCCTTTCAAACATATTTTTAAACATCGTACATGCTAAGGTTAAATTTGATAAATTATTCAAGGGAAATTCCCTTAGAGATCTGCAATATATAAAATACATGGTCTTTTGAGGATCTAAATTCAATAAAGCTGGAAATTTTTCATGAATAAATATTTTTGAAATTATACACATAAAGATGTTGTCTCTTGCCGTATTTCTTTGAAAATGTGTTTAATTTAATTTTCAGTTAGTTCCATGTTCTTATTTAACGAGAAAGGATAACTTAAAAGAGAATTCTATTAATGCAAAATATATTTTTTTTTATTAAAGATCATAAAAGAAGCCCCAAAAGGTTTTACTCAAACTTCAAATAAAATCAAAATGTTTTTTTTTTATTTGAAAGTTTATATTTTCTCTTAAAAATAATTGTAACACAATTGTATACAAATACACATTTTATATTTAAAATATTTGTTGAAAATTTAGTTTTGTTTGTCTTTACCCAGAGAAAAAAAAGTTTGCATTTATATGAATGGATAAATTTTATGCTGCTACTTGAAAAAGTACTATGCATAAGTTATTTAAATTTTATTCGTAAATTATTTCGTTTAATTTACATTTTTATCTCGGTATTTTTTTATGTAAGTATTCTTCTTATGTTTCATTTAGTAGCTCTTGTAAACTTATTTTTGAAAATTTCTGTGAGCTCTTTCGAAAAATATTTTAAGTGCGAATTATTTTGCTTCATATAATAACATAATAATTTGTTTTCATTGTATATTTTTAATAAAGAAAGGTTACTTAAAGTAATATTGAAACATTTATCGCAAAGTTTTAATATATATGTAGTAATTTAACTAAATACAAATTTTATTTTTATATTAACAATATATAGAAGAGAATCGGTAGTATGGAATACCAATGTTTTGGCTCTGTTTGTGTCTGTTAAGCGTGGGAAAACCTTGAAGTACTAAAGTACTCATTATACACTATAGTGAGAGTTGTGTGACCGCTTGTTTTTACCATACCACTCGCTACAGAACAAAGTGTGTTTTGTGATTTTCAAAACTTTTTGCTGGTAAGTTTTCAAACATTTTAAGATACTAGTGCTTATATGATTTAATCATTAAACTTAAGCATAATGTAATCTCAAAGAGCTGCTCTTTGTAATACTATGCGAGTTTTTTAGCTGTCAATGTTGTTCTTCAGTTTAAAGGTTTATTTTCCAAAACGGCGTATTGGGTGTTATGGAATGCTAGATGTTTTTATTTACACCAGAAGTGCTTTGGAAAAGTTCTGTAAGTATTTGTGTAATTATTTACGAGTTTAATTTCTTTTCTTTCTTTCCTTTGTAATGTGCTTTTCATACTTCTGTAAGCCCCGTGTGATACTTTGAGGTGCATTGAGATTTATAAAAGTTTTCAATAAAAAAATGTTTGTTTAAATACTAATTGGAGATAAGATTTTTCTCAAAACTCAAATTATAAATTATCTTTATAAATTTAGAGTGTTATAGGGAGTATGATAAAATAAATAATTGAAAAAATAGTTCTTTAAAAATAAATGAAACTTTCATTAAAAATAATGTTAATTACGTATAAGCATTAAAATTTTATTAAAAATATAAGAGCACAGTTATTTTTAGTTTATTATATATTTAAATTATTTTCTGTCGCTGTAGTTTTAGATATAACTGTCCTTTCCATTTTCAGTGTACCAATTTGGTTAATAATGTTTAACTTTGTTCATTCTTTTAATTCTTAATAATTTTTTTACCAATTCAAGAAACATGACTTGGCGAAAACATGGTTCAACTAATCAAAAACCATATAAATATAAAACAAAGGCTTCTTTAGGTAGCAATCTTATTGGAATCGGTTATCTTATGTCTTATTAATACTAGGTTAAAAATGAGAACTTAATTTCAAATAACTAGTGAGAGAGAGAGAGAGAGGCTGCGTTTTAATTTATCTATAAGAATCTTGAGGTTTATTTTGAAAATCTTAAAATTTAATGCAGCCACATGCACAGAAAAATCATAAAAATATTCTATTCCACATATATTTTAAAGATTATGGAGTTAATTCCATTTAATTAAAAATTTCATTAAAATTTTCCTCACGGGATTATTTATTTAAACATCCCTCATAACTTCATATTAAACTTTACCTTCTGAAGCATCGACCTGAAAGTTCAAGTAAATCTTTAAGCACTTCCATTCAATGTATGATGCATCAAGGAGGAAAAATGGAAAATACAACCCGCGCAGGAGAAAGAATCTAAAGAATTGCTCGAATTCTTTGATCATTTTCTAAAGAATATATTTTTTCTTTGTTATTTAGCAAATCTGGAATCCCTTACTCTATATCCATATACAGCTCTGAGATTTCTTAGGCTGCGTATTTTTATCTGAATAAATCCTTTTAAAGCTGATTGTTTGTTAGCTTTGTTTTCGTATTGAGATCAAGATCCCTTCTGCTATGTTTTGATAACAGGAGAAAAGGATAAACAAACAATAAGAAGAAATTACTTTTAGTCCTCGTCGGTCAGAAAAGAAAAACATTTTACCTTTTGAACAATAAAAATTGTCTGAAGAATAAAACTGAGATATTGAATAAAGTCTAAAATGCAACTAAATGCTATATTTTGGATTTCATTTTGTTTTGTTGTGCTATGGTTCAACGGCGCATTAATTTCCAAGATTTAGAAAAAAATCCAGAAAATTGCGATTGTAAAATTTTTATTAATTAGAATTTAATGAAATTCTGCAAGAAAAAAAAATTAATCAAACAGTTTCATAAATCAGGCACTAAACGAAGGCATTTATATTTTGTAAAATGAATTTAATGTTTAAGAAAAAAACCCACAAAATGGAAACATAGAATTTGAGTACTATAAGGGATTTCTAACAAATGTAAAGATACGGCAATTGTATTTTATGTTCAAAATGATGATGTTTATACACTCAGTTGACAGCAAAGACTAATACTTCTCGAAACATTTTAAACGGAGTTCCAAAATGTGGATTAAGCATTGGCATAACGGATAATATTAATGCCCCTGCAAAATCAGGTTTTGGGCCCCAACCCGGATCTTACAAAGGATCGCAAAACCGAAACATCATACTTTTAGCCTCCTAGAATTCTTGGCCCCCAAGATGCGCGTTTGTGTTATAATGCATCTTCCCTAAAGCCTTTGAAACCAGAGAATTCTGTGGTTCAATTCTAGAGAACATAACTAACTAACACAGCAATATTCACAGCTCCAGCATAAAGACAAATAACTTGATCAAGAATGACATCATAATTCAGCATTAACAGTGCTCTTTGAAACGATATAAAAGTCAGTGTCCATCTGAAGAGTTACACGACCACAATATACACATTGAGCCCATCAAGTCCTTTGGTGTTTGACTTGTATAATAATGAATTCTTGGTTCTCGCCATACTAATAGTG